AAAGGGATAATTCGGCACATGTGTGTGGTGATGGGTTGTAATTAGAATTTGGGTGGTGAACATGATGTAATCTATGCAGAAATAGAAGTATAATGATGTACACCTGAAATATACAATGTTATAAACCAATATTACTGCAATAAACAAAAAATTAAAAAAATAATAATAAAAAATAAAATAAAATAAAAATAAAGAAAGAAAAAGAAGAAAATAACAGATGGTTTGAATAAAATCGCTCAGAGAAAATTGACTGAGGAGGAAATACACTGCTTAGAAATAGAGAAGAAACTTCCCAAAGTGAATAGAAACATCAACTATACATCAGAAGTGCAAGCTCTAGAAGATGGCTGATGATACAGAAAAAGAAATGGAGAGAACCACTTCCTTCTATCAACATAAGATTTTCTTCTATGAGAAAAGAGCTCAAGAAAGTTGGATGGCAGCTCTGTGGACTGAGAGAAAGCTCAATGAGCTAAGAAAAGAAAATAATCACGACAACAGATACTGGCTGACACTGAGTTTAAGTCTCAGCCTTTCCCAAGTGATCGTTTTGCTCCTGCTAATCCACGTGCAGCCCACAGAGGCTCAGACATATCAGGGGATCCCGCAAATCATCAGGTCCCCAAGAGAGAGGAGGGTCATGCTGGGAGGGCTCAGGGATCCAGGGTCACAGGTGGGTTTGATTCAGTGTTCCCAGCAGCTGCCCCATGAACAGTCATAACCACAGCAAGATATCTGCCTATGGTTTCTCTCTTTTAAAAGTACTTTTGCTTTATCTCTTTTTGGTCTAACTGTTGTTATTTAATTGATGCTACAACTGCTCTTATTGAAGTCTGATAGCAATAAAATGCCTCAGATAATATTTTTTAAAATACAGATTCATTTAATACAATTCTTATGAATACATTATTTCCACTTCATTGTACCCTCTAGAATTAGATAATATAAGTACTGTATTGTGATTTAAATAAAAGATTCACTATTATTTATCCCATCATTAAAGTCTGAGATGGACAGAGACATTTAGAATAATAAAGACTACTTCTGCATGCTATGAGCTATAACCAAATCGAACCAAATAAAACAAAAACCCAAAAACCACCACCACCACAGTCAAACTTCATAATATTTTTTTATTTGTTTAACCCTAAATTCACAGGTTAATTTAGGGAGCTGACATCTTGCAACCATTTTGGAAGGCAGTCAATCTGACGCTAACTACCCAGAGTAAGGTCAAATTTCACAGATTAAGGGCACAGTCTCCCACAAGACTGCCCTCACTTCCATCACCAGCCCCAAGTTTGGAGGTCCTCAAGCCACCCACACTTCTAACCAACTGGCTACAAATTCAGGGGTTCCCACAACTCCCTCAGGTTTGATAATTTGCTAGAATGACACACAATACTAAGGAAGGTACTATACTTACGACTGTAGTTTTATAATAAAGGGTACAAATCAGTACTAGCTGAGTGAAGAGATGCATAGGACAAGGTCTGAGAGTCCAAGGGAAAGCTTCCATGTCCTCAGGACACATCACCCTCCTGACACACTGATGTATTATTACCAACCAGGAAAGCTCACCCAACCCTCAGTGTCTAGAGTTTTTATTGGGGTTTCATTATGCAGACACAACTGACTGAATCACTGGCCACGTGACAACTCAATCTCCAGCCCCTCTCCTCTCCCAAGGGGTGGGGCTGATGTCAGTGGCTCAAAACCCAACCCTCTAATCACATGGTTGGTTGTTCAGGCACGGACAGCCCCCATCCTGAAACTACCCAGGGGCCTAGCAGGAGGCACCTATTAGCATATACTCAACTGTGGTTCTAGGGGCCACCATGAATAACAAAGACACTCCTATCATTCCAGAAATCCAAAGATTTCCCAGGAACCAGGACAAAGGCCAGCCAAATTCTTTATGATATATTTGTTTCTAGTTTTATCATTTTTTGGTTAACTTTTGTTATTTTTTTAGATATTCTTTACTTTTTAAACATTTCTAAATTTTATGCAGTCAAAATAAAAGTTTTTTTCTTTACGACAAACAAACAAACACAACAACAAAACAACATAAAAATGAAAACCTAGACTAGTGGCATTTCCCACTCCTCAGAACCCTAAAATACAGTCTAAAGAAGATCACTCTGAAATTATGGTTGATGTCTGCTTCAACCATGAGGTTTCATTTTAAAAACTACATCAGAAACATTATCACCAGTGATATAGCAAAGATCAGCTGGACCAGTTTTCCTTGGTTTGTTGTTAATACATCTTACAGTCCTTCACCCATAGGAAGAGTTAAGCCCCTGATACCTCCTTGAGCACCTACAGAAGATCTGTAAGCAAGGCTGGCATTTGGTGTGAATTAATTTCTTCTTGAGGAGATGAGCTATGAAGAATATCAGACTATTGTGGAAAACAGACAACTGTGGGGGAGGATGGCTGCCTTCCAAAGAAAAAAACAGATCATTTCCAACAATAATTAGCAAATAAAGGTGTGGTGGAAAATCTACAAAAGGCTTTAGCATAAGGTCATCCAAATACATTTGTACACAGAACTGGAAACACACAAAACGTCATCTCATTGAAACTGTGCATACTTGACATTCTTGACTACTTCTGAATCATAGCTTGCTATTCATTCAAAATAGCAAACGGAGTTTAACTAACTTTCTCATATAGCACGGTAAACACGTGAAGATCCATCCACAGCTATACGAATTATTTAACTGTATTTGCTATATTTTTAGGTACAAAGAGCCTGTCTTTAGTGACCACTACTCTAATTAAAAAAGCCATTTCTTTAACTTTACATTTGTAATGCTTTATTGCTCCAATGACTATTTCTTGCAGGCCCACTACGTGCCAGATACTATTCTAAGCACTGGGATTACACAGGTGAACAAGGCAGATAATGTCCTTCCTCTTGGGGAATTTACGGTATTTTGATGCTGATGAATTCAAAACAAAACAAAACCACATAAGAAAATCAGGCATGGTTAATCCCCATTCTTACAAAGAAGACACCTAAGCTTTACAGGTGAGTCACATACCCAGGCCAGGTAAGTGGCTCGGTTAGGAAAGGAAGCAAGGCCTAGGGATGCCTGGTCCAGTGAGCTTCCCACTAAGAGCAGGCCCAGAGAAAAACAACTGAGCATTTTTAAATACGAAAGACGTCAAACCCAGGTAAAAACACTCCTCAGTAGAAAGGTTACTCCCCCAAGCATCTATTAACAAAATAAAAATAAAAAAGATTTAGACTGTTTTTAACTTGCATAGAAATGAACTCATTTGAGGGTCCAGGCTAGGTCATTTACAAAGCTTGCAGCAGGGAAGGCTCTCCTGAAAACCCCTATGCCCCAGATTTCTGCAGCTTTGGGGAAGGGAGGATAGTACAGGGCACCCACCAGGCTGACAAGCCACATACCTGGCACCTGGCAGGACTCCTTCAAGTCCAGGATATCCCTGATGTAGAGTTTTGCAAAGGCTAGAAACACAGGATCCAAACCCCACAAGAGGGAAGGGGTCTCCTCTTCACACCAGCCGGATTCAGACTGCATTGGGATGCTGGGCTGTGGCTTCCAGCCAACCCTGAAAGGCTTTGCATCACTGAATCGAGGATCTAGATGGGAGACACCAAAATCAGGATGCAAGGAGGTTAAAGTGGGTGAAATTGGCATGGCCCCAAAGCTGTTCCCGGGCGGACATCCAGAACTCTGGGAGGGGTAAACCCATGGGCCCAGGGCTTGTCAAACTGCATGCCATGGGCTTCGGAAAAGAGGTGTTCCTCGAGTGAGGACCCATGAGTTCCTTATGGCTCTCTCCCTGGAACCTCCTCTGGCCCACGGGAGGGTTTCTCCTTCCCCAAAAGTACCAACTTCGAAAACGTTAAACACCAACTTTTCACTCTGGGGAGATATGTCCATACGGTAGTATCCTGAAACCGCTTTAATTGGTGGGCTCCAGGGAGGAATAGGCGCCCTCCTGGCCATAGACGTGTGCGGCACAGAGTGGGCGGGTCTGTCCGTCGCTCTGCCCCTGCACCTTCCGGTTTTAGAGATGAGACTGAGAGCAGTAAAACGGAAACGAAAACCAGCTCCGAGCCCCTCCCGCCGCGCCCGCACACGCGGCCCGCAGGTTCCCGGAGCGCGCAGGCCCGGCCCCTCCGGCGCTCGGAGGCCGCCGGCGCCCACGGGCTAAAGGAGGCGCCGCCGGCCCCGCCCGGCGCAGGAGCGCTTGGCCGGGGTCGCCTCGGGAGTTCTGGTGGGGGCCGGACACCGCCCCTCGCGCTGGACCAACCTCGCGTCCTCGCCCCGGCCTTTTCTTCCCGCCGCCTGCGGCTCCGCCCCACCCCGCCCGCGCCTCGCTGTGGCTCCGCCCACCCCGCCCGCAGCCACGCCCCATTCTGCGCCCGCCGCGGCTCCACCGTCTGCTCTCCTCCAGGTGGCGGGGTGCGGCTTGGGGCTCCGGCGGGGGATCCTGTTTGGCTCAGGCAGGGCTGAGGTCCCTGTGGCTGTCTGGACTCTGCGGCCTTCGCGGGGGTGAGCCTAAATCTCTGAGGCGTGGGAGCTGGCCCTGAAATTCCTGCTGACCAAACCCCGCCTTCCAAGTCACTGTTTCACACCCCGCCCCCGCTAGTGGTGGGACCCTGCGCCAGGACCTCTAAGAGATTGGTTCAGACAGGTTTTTTTTGGTTTGTTCCTGATGTGTTAAATGAACAAGTAAAGCAATACCAAAAGCAGGATTACGTTGTGACATATTTTAAATGTTTATTACACTGATAAATGACCTACTAACACACAGACACACACGTTGGGACTCTACAGTCTCACTTGGAGATAATGACAGTATCTGAATTTAAATCCTTGAGTAAATGTGAGGTCTAGTCTTTACCCAAGACCAGCCTTCCTTGCAAGATCATGACAAATTTTGTCTCTTGTCCTCTGTCTACACTCTGGAATGTTGAACATTTAAGAATTTTGAAAAACTGGCATTTTGGTAAATTATCACCACCTTGATAGTGCTTTTCCCCAGTAGTCCTAATTGAAAGTGAGATAAGATAGCCACGTTCCACTCCCATAAATAAATAAGCTACATCATGACATTGCTCGAGACAGCAAGAGTTCTTCCTGTTTTACAGCAACTCTGTCAAATGGCAGGAGGCGTACAAGTCACTGTGGTAGGCCATTCCTGGGGGAGGTAGATGGTGACCAAAGAGATAATTGCTAAACTATTTAGCAGAGAAGGAACTTCAAGCAGCTGGAAGGGAAAATGTGTGTCATTAGAAGAATGCCATTTAATTACACCGGTGGGCACTGAAGAAGCTAAAAAATAGAGTTCTTGGTAAAGTACAGCATCACCCAGATTCTACTGCGATGAACAGTTGGGTCTGTGGAGTTTCAAATTTAGTTGAAAGAAACCACCTTTCTAGTAGGGGAGGCTTTCTTCGAAGAAGAACATCCAGTAGGACACCCAGTAGGATGAGAGCTTCCGGCTGACCTGTCAGATGGGAAGAGACAGGTTGGGCGACATTTTCCTCGCTGCACACGTCTGCTCCCGGGTGGCACCCAAGAAGAAAATCACTATTGGGTGTACTCAGAGCCTGAGAAAATTTCAGGAATAATCTCATGGCTCTCAGGGGTACAGTGCTAGGAACCAGGGCCCTTGGGAACCCCAAGCTTACTGCCAGCCTCGGGGAGGGCCACACCCAGGCGGGGTGAGCAGAGCAGACCGCCCCAAAGCCATCTTTTACAATGAAGGGTGGAATCCTTGGAGTAGGGGTGCTGCTTTTGTGTGTGCGTGTGTGTGAGGAAGATCAGCCCTAAGTTAACATCCATGCCAATCCTCCCCTTTTTGCTGAGGAAGACTGGCCCTGGGCTAACATCCGTGCCCATCTTCCTCCACTTTATGTGGGAGGCTGCCACAGCATGGCCTGACAAGCGGTGCATCAGTACGCACCCGGGATCCGAACCCGGGCCACCAGCAGCCAAGCATGCGCAGACGTCTAACTGCTACGCCATGGGGCTGGCCCTAGGGATGCTTCTTTTGATCTGAGCTCAAAACTTGAGGGAGTAGGTGGCAAGTGAAACGTTAAGGTGAGATGTGAAACAGAATTTCCACACTCCAGAAAGATCTAGAGGAGTTTGGGAGGATCTTCTTCCCTGTCATCTCCATCAGGACAGATTCCAGGTTCCCAAAGCCACTGCCTAGAGGTGTGCAAAGGGACTCTTGAAACCATGAACACTGGAGGGCTCTTCAGCTTGGGGTTTCACAACACTACAAAGCAGATATTTCAAAACCCAATAGTCCACACTTCATGCTAGGAACCTTTCTTATGGCTTCTCCATGTGAAATAACTTGGTTTTGCAAGCTTTCTGACACACTAGATAATCCTTCCTAGAAGGTTAAGATTTTAGCAAATTCTTCTGAAAAAATGAAGGAATTAAACTGCATATTTCCTATCTCAAAGCTCAAACTATCCCGCCTTGGCCAGTTTTGACACTTTACAGGTAGACTGGAGTTTGTCCACTTGTAAGTTGGGTTAGAATTTCTATTTGAAGTTGATAAGGATGACTTGTCAACATTCTTTTTTTTTTTTTTTTAAAGATTTTATTTATTTTATGTTTTCCCCCCAAAGCCCCATTGGATAGTTGTGTGTCGTAGCTGCACATCCTTCTAGTTGCTGTATGTGGGACTCGGCCTCAGGATGAACGGAGAAGTGGTGCCTCGATGCGCACCCGGGATCCGAAGCCGGGCCACCAGCATCGCAGCGCGCGCACTTAACCACCAAGCCACAGGGCTGGCCCTGTCAACATTCTTATTATGTTAATGTTGTAACCCTGGGGGGCCGTCTTCAGTCACTCAGCATACTTTGAGCATTCTCTGTGTGTTGTGGGCGAGCCCTAAGAATTTTTATTTCACTGGAGCAAAAAGACTGATGCCTGTAATATAGTAAATAATAAAGCAAGAGACCAAATTGTGATTAAATACAGAATGTGTCGCCTGAATAATAACTATTGTATGGGTTATGGGAGGCAAATTGTGGGGGGATCATTAAGTCAGATAACAGATATAATCCCTGGAACAAGGTAAGCATTCAGTATATATAAGCTATTATTATTATTCACTGTGGAGGTGGGATTTAAACTGGAATTGGAGACTGTGGAGGAGCTGTTCATTCATTCATTCATGAAATATATTTGTAAAGCACTTGTCAAGCACTGTACTAGACACTGGGGGTAAGAAGGAGACAAGACAGATGGGGGACAGCCCTCACGGAGCTTCCATTCTGTTGGAGGGGAAAAGGGAGGACAATAAACAAATAAATGAATAAAATAAGTACAGATTGTCCTCAGTGCTTTGAAGGAAATAAAAAGTATATTATGATCACTCATAATGGGATATGGGATCTACTTTATATAGATCTACTTTCATCGGATGAGAGGAAGTGACATTTGGGCTGAGACCTGAAGGATGAGAAGGAGTGAACCAGGAAAAGTGCTGAGCAAAGAGCATTCCAGGCAGCGTTGTCAGGGCGATTGTCGAATATCTGGAGGCAGGAAAGCACTTCCCTGTTGGAGAAAGAGAAGTGAGCGTGGGGGAGAGTGGTTACATGTCACAATTGGAGAGATAAGCACAAGGCAGATCCCAAAGGACCTTGTAGGCCATGATAGGCTGGGGTTTTATTCTCAGTCTCCCTACATGTAAAGAGGGGGATACTATTGCGATGGGGTGGGAGCAGGGCAAAGGCAACAGGGTGAGTGAGACATTTGTGGGCAAGCCAACACAGCAGCCTGGTTGGAGAGGGCAGCTGCAGGCTGGAGAAAACAGGCTGGAGACCAGGATTTTAGCTAGATTCTGAAGGGCTTAAATTAGTTTCTACTACTATTCCCTGTAAATAATAGAGTGTTGTTGATTATTGACTAGAGGAATGATTTAATGAATTTAAAAAATTGCAGAGATACCTGCCACATGTAACATACAATGGTAGAGAATAGAAAAATATGTAAGAAAAATTCTCTACCCCATGTTCTGAATGTATCCTAAAAATTGTGTCTTAGGGCTATTCACTAGTAGATGGTGAAGAAACTAGAGTAAGAATATATTGCCCGGCCTGTTGCTGTGGGCCCTGCCTATAGCATTTCTCCTCCTGCCTCCTCGAAGCCTTGCTCAATCCCGTGATGTTACCCTCTCCCTCTCTGGCTCCCCTCTACCCTCTTTAAATGTCTTCCAACTTTAAGAAGACAGCTTCTCTGAAGACCCCAGCCCCTCTAACTATTGCCCTCTCGCCCTCTTCCTCTCCTTTCGAAGCTAAATTTCTTGGAAGAGTCGTATGCATTCCCTATCCACACATCTCTAGTTCAACCTACCATAATTTGGCTCACCTTAATTTGACTTTCAACTAACTCCACCCTGGCCCACTGCTCCACTGAAACGTCTCTCCTAAGGTTAACAATTACATTCAAATTCTAGAATACAATGGATACTTTCTTTTCTTATCATTCTTCATCTTTTTTTCTGATTTTCTAGCATTTGGTGTTGATCTGATCTCATTCTTTCCCTACCCTCCCTTGGCTTGCTGATATCCTTTTCTGTTTCTTTTCTACCTCTCTGTTTCTTCCTTCTCAGTTCCTCTTCTTTTGTTAATCTCTTACATGTTGATATTCCCCAAGGTTCAGTCTCCTGCCCACTTCCTTTCTGATCATATGTACTCTCTCTGAGTAGCCTCATCTAAACCTATGGCGTCAACCAAACCAATATATATAATAGGTTCAGA